ACAAGCAAGTTACGTATTGCCGCCATTGCATCTTGGTAATTTGTTGCATATGATGGGCTCCTTGGAAAGAAGATGGCGTATTATAAGTTTTCCAGTGCGTATATATTTTCATTATGTGCCTGACACTCTAAAAGCATCTAAAGCCCCGATAAAGTTCAATCTGTAAATCCTTTTGATTTGTCGCAAAAAAATGTAAACGTGAGCTGGGTTTTAACATATGCATCAACAATATATTGCTGAAAACGCTTAATACCACAGCTAAATACTGAAACCATTTCCTGCTGTGAGTCTGTATGCATAATATTGTAGCGGAGTGACACGGGTGCGCTTTTGGTAATTCTCCTTTTTCTACATAAACCCATTCCAGTAAATCTTAAACTACACTGCCCCTTGAAATAGCAAAAGGATAGTCATTGATCACACCATTGATTTGAAGGTGAAATGCTTTGGCATGTATCCCTCAACTGCACACACAAATGTCTCTGATTGGCTTGGGGGCTCTCCATTATCACCTACAAATATAGCTGCTACTTCAGTGCATAAAGTAGGAGCATTATAGCGCCGCATATCCAAATTTTTTTCTTCCAAAAATATCATTTTCACTGATGTAGTTGGGTGCTCTTGTACCACTCGGTGCATTTGAAGATAAGACTGAGCAAAGGATTTGATTTCCCTTAACATAAAATCAAGTTTTTCAAATACATGTTGCAAGCAATTTTGATTGTTACTCAAGCGTTTCTCTGTTGCCTCACTGGAGTCAAATATATAAAGCTGTCCGTAACTTTCTTTATGTTGGTCACTTGCATACAGGGGGAAACTCTGTGGTACACTTGACCATGTAAACGGTAACAGTATGGCCCAGTTCCACGTGGTGGTTTAATTTGTGCTCCCATCGAAACGAATGCAAAGGCAGAATTGTATTCCCGAATTCGCTGTCCATAATTTTTAGCATCAGGTGAATTTTCAGTTAGCAATGCTTTCAATAGTTCCGGTGCATCAGGAAATGCCGGTAGCAGAACCTTTCCATCATGGCAACATTTTGTATATTTATGGGCAGTATTTTTCTCTTCCTTCCAATAAACAGACCCACAAAAACCGCACTGTTCGGACATAGTTCCAAAATTATGCTCCTCAACATCGTTTCGAATACACACACGTTTTGGGCGACGGCGAATATCGGCTTCGCTTCGAATACTTCGCCTTACAATGGATTCCTGAACTGTTTCCTGGCTCCGTTCAGTACGCCTTTGTTCATTTCGGATAATATATCCAACAGCACGACTTAAATTCATTATTTTAACAAATTTCCAACTACTAAAGATAGTTTTCAATAAACGTGATCACACGAAGCGACTTCGGACTTTCCGCAGATGTAAACAAATCAAACTTGCGAGCTGTTGCCAAAGGGCGATTAAGAAATTCGACTCTTTTTTGTCGCCACGTAAGAGAATTATATATATAGATGTTTCGGAATTCTACAAGAAGTCAGAATGGCCGAGCTGTCTAAGGCGCTGTGTTCAGGTCGCAGTCCACTCTTGTGGGCGTATGGTCGAACCCCACATCTGACATGAATATGAAATTTTATTTTCCTTCTAATTTCTAACCGTACATAATCTTTCTCAAACTCTGCATTTAAAATAAACTTATATGATTATTGATTCTACAAGAAGTCAGGATGGCAGAGCGGTCTAAAGCGTTGCGTTCAGGTCGCAGTAAACTCTTGTGGGCGGGGGTTCGAATCCCACTTCTGACATGAAAGCAAAATTTTATATTCCTTCTAGCCGTACATAATCTTTCTTAAAGTCTGAATTTAAACTACACTTATCAGCTTCGGATCGCAGCATGAAGTCAGGATGGCCAAGCGGTCTAAGGCGCTGCGTTCAGGTCGCAGTCCACTCTTGTGGGCGTGTGTTGGAATCCAACTTCTGACAAGAATCTGAAATTTTGTTTTCCTTCTAATTTCTATCCGTACATAATCTTTCTGAAACTTTCCATTTAGAATAAACTTATCCGTTACTAGGCTCTAAAGAAGTCAGAATGGCCGAGCGGTCTAAGGCGCTGCGTTCAGGTCGCAGTCCACTCTTGTGCGCGTGGGTTCGAATTCCACTTCTGACATAAAAACAAAATTTTATTTTCATTATAGCCGTACATAATCTTTCTTAAAGTCTGAAATTAAACTACACTTATCAGTTTCGGGCCGCATTATGAAGTCAGGAGGGCCGATCGGTCTAAGGCGCTGCGTTCTGGTTTCAGTCCACTCTTGTGGGCGTGGGTTCAAATCCCACTTCTGACATGAATCTGAAATTTTGTTTTCCTTCTAATTTCTAGCCGTACATAATCTTTCTCAAACTCTGCATTTAAAATTAACTTATATGTTTCTGGATTCTACAAGATGTCAGGATGGCAGAACGGCCAAAGGAGCACCGTTCAGGTCACAGTTCACTCATGTGGGCGTGGGTTCGAATCCCACTTCTGACATTAAAAAAAATTTATTTTCATTCTAGCCGTACATAATCTTTCTTAAAGTCTGAATTCAAACTACACTTATGAGTTTCGGGCCGAAACATGAAGTCAGGAACGCCGAGCGGTCTAAGGCTCTGCGTTCAGGTCGCCGTCCACTCTTGTGGGCGTGGGTTGGAATACCACTTCTGACATGAATCTGAAATTTTGTTTGCCTTCTTATTTCTATCCGTACATAATCTTTCTCAAACTCTGCAATTAAATAAACATATCTTTTTCGGGCCAAGAAGTCTGAATTTAAACTACATTTATGAGTTTTTGGACTCAAGAGGTCAGGATGGCCGAGCGGTCCACTCTTGTGGGCGTGGGTTCGAATCCCACTTCTTCATTCTAGCCGTACGTAGTCTTTCCTCAAGTCTGAATTTAAACTACACTTATGAGTTTCGGGCCGTATCATGAAGTCAGGAGGGCCGATCGGTCTAAGGCGCTGTGTTCAGTTCGCAGTGAAATCTTGTGGGGGTGGGTACGAATCCCACTTCTGACAATAAAAAATAAATTTATTTTCATTCTAGCTGTACACAATCTTTAAGAAAGTCTGAATTTAATCTAAACTTCATCATCAGTTTGCGAACGCAGCATGTTGTCTGGATGGCCGAGCGGCCTAAGGCGCTGCATTCAGGTCTCAAGTACACTCTTGTGGGCGTGGGTTGGAATACCACTTCTGACCTGGATCTTAAATATTATTTTCTAACTGGACACACATAATCTTACTCAGACTCTTTATTTAAAATTTACTTATCAGTTACGGGACTCAGAAGGAGATGAGGATGGCCAAGCGGGTTAAGGTCGCAGTCCATTCTTGTGAATGTTGGTGCGAACCCCATATCTTACATGAATATAAACTTTTAATTTCTATCCGTACATAATCTTTCTGAAACTCTCCATTTAAAATAAACTTATCTGTTACTGGGCTCTAAAAAAAGTCAGAATGGCGGAGCGGTCTAAGCCGCTGCGCTCAGGTCGCAGTCCACTCCTGTGGGCGTGGATTCGAATCCCACTTCTGACATGAATATGAATTTTTTTATTATAATTTCTAGCCGTACATAATCTTTCTCAAACTCTGCATTTAAAATAGACTTATATGTTTCTGTATTCTACAAGAAGTCAGGATGGCCGAACGGTCTAAGGCGCTGCGTTCAAGTTGTAGTCCACTCTTGTGGGCGTGGGTTCGAATCCCACTTCTGACATGAATACTAAATTTTATTTTCATTCTAGCCGTACATAATCTTTGTTTTTGTCTGAATTTAAAATAAACTTATCAGTTTCGGGGCTCTGCAAGACGTCAGGATGGCCAAGCTATCTAAGGCGCTGCTTTCAGGTCGCACTCTTCTCTTGTGGGTATAGGTTTGAAACTGAAATTTTGCTTTCCTTCTAATTTCTAGCCGTACATATACTTTCTCTAATTGCATATAAAATAAACTTACCTGCTTCGGTGTGCTGCAAAAAGTCAGAATGGCGGAGCGGTCTATGTCGCTTCGTTCAGGTCGCAGTCCACTCTTCTGGGCGTGGGTTCGAATCCCTCTTCTGTCGCTAATATTTAATTTAATTTTCCTTCTGATTTCTAGCCGTACATAATCTTTCTCAAACTCTAAATTTAAAATAAATTTATCCGTTACTGGGCTCTAAAAAAAAGTCAGAATGGCCGAGCGGTCTAAGGCGGTGCGTTCAGGTCGCCGTCCACTTTTGTGGGGGTTTGTTGCAATCCCTCTTCTGACCTGGATCTTAAATATCATTTTCTAACAGGCCACACATAATCTTACTCAGACTCTGCATTTAAAATTTACTTATCAGTTTCGGGATTCAGAAAGAAGTGAAGATGGCCGAGCGGTCTAAGGCTTTGCGTTAAGGTCGTAGTCAACTCTTGTGGGCGTGTGTTCGATTCCTACTTCTGACTTTAAAACATTATTTTATTTTCATTCTAGCAGTACATAATCTTTCAGAAAGTCTGAATTTAATCTTAACTCATCAGTTTCGGTTCGCAGCTTGTAGTCAGAATGGCGAGCGGTCTAAGACGCTGCGTTCGGGTCGCAGTCCATTCTTGCGGGCGTGGGTTCTAATCCCACTTCTGACATTAAAACAAAATTTTATTTTCATTACAGCCGTACATGATCTTTCTTAAAGTCTGAATTTAAATTACGCTTATGAGTTTCGGGCCGCAGCATGAATTAAGGATGGCCGAGCGGTCTAAGGCGCTGCGTTGAGGTCGCCGTCCACTCTTGTGGGCGTGGATTGGAATCCCACTTCTGACATGAATCTGAAATTTTGTTTGCCTTCTTATTTCTATCCATACATAATCTTTCTCAAACTCTGCAATTAAATAAACATATCTTTTTCGGGGCAAGAAGTCAGAATGGCCGAGCTGTCTAAGGTGCACCGTTAAGGTTGCAGTCCTCTCTTGTGGGCGTGGGTTCGAATCCCATTTCTTACATGAATATAAACTTTTAACTTCTAGCTGTACATAATCCTTCTCAAACTCTGCATTTAATCAGTTTCAGTTTCATTATCAGTTTCGGGGCTGTGCAAGTTGTCTGGATGGCCGATCCGTCTAAGGCTCTGCTTTGAGGTCCCAATCTTTTATTGTTGGCAAGAGGTTCGAATCTGATATGTATATGAAATTTTAATTTCTAGCCGTACATGAACTTTCTCAAACTGCATTTAAAATTAACTTATCTCCTTCGGGGCTCTACAAGAAGTCATATTTAATTTTAATTAAATGTTTTTAAATAGAATTTTGATTTATTTAGTGACTTTATAGTTATCCGATTACGTTACTAAGCGATTTTTATTAATTTATGAATTTAATAAAAATCGTTTGAGTGGAATTTTATGAAGTCGCTTGTTCATATTTTGGAATTCTATCTTCAATTGCGTGATGGTTTCTTTGATCCTTAACAATATTCTATTCTTTTTTTAAAAAATCTAGTGTTTCATCCCAATTGCAAATATTAGAACTTAGTAAATCTATTAGCTCTTTACTATTCATTGTTCTGAGAAAAACATTTGCCCCTTATAGCGAAGCTGCTAGGGGCAAATTCTTTATGTTTTTTAACATTTTCTGATATACCTGTGATCTCCTCTAATTTCTTCAATATTCTAACATTCAATGATCTAAAGAAGCTACAAGGTTCCGGATCCCGCTGCTAGCGAAGCCGTAGGATGTTCTTTAATGTTAAAAAAAGTCTGCCCAGTTCCCATTTCAGATTCCGCAGGCATCGCGAGCACAATTGTTCCTGTTTCACTTGAATAATTAAAAAACGCAGATTCCTTACACTCAATGAGCTAGCGAAGCTACTAGGTTCCGGCTCCCTCTGCTAGCAAAGACGTAGGATGTTTTTTTATCTTAAAAAATCTGCCCAGTGCCCATTTCAGATGCCGCATGCATAGCGAGGGAATTTGAAATGCTGCATTTGAAACAGGAGATAGTGCAAAGGCAAACCATAACTGTCGTATGTTTAATAGTTTTTATAAAAAACGTGGCATTAAATATTACTGGAACCAAAATATGAAAATAACCAAAGTTATTCGATCTATCCAAAACATTTATTACTAGAATAAGAAGAAACCAAAAAAATCGATCAATTAACATTTAAAATCCTTTTACAGTTAAATGTGCACGCACAAGTACTTAGAGACCTGAAACATTATCGCATGACATAAAAATTACATTATAGTTGATTTTTCAATGAATTTTGCTGAATCAATCCCATTTATCAATGAAATTTGGTCAATGAGATCACATGTCAATTTAATTAATCGCATTGACTAAACGTCAATGGTAATTATGCATAATAACCGGTTAATGTGGTAAATGCTCATAAATTATCCACTTTAACCCGCTTAACTTGGTTATTATGCATAATCTCCGGTTATTATGCATAATCTTCGCGGTAATTATGCATAATAACCGATTATCCCCATTAACCTTAACATATAGACTAAAATTGTAGAACAAAGACTCTTATTAGTTTGTAATCATTTTCCTTGCATTCGAAACATTGAACTTTTGCTAAGAGTGACGCTTACAATGCTTCATATCACATATACTTGCACCTACTGCATTTTGCATGGATTTTGGTAGAAAGTTTTCTTTCTTTCAAATACAATCAATATTCTCATTTGCTGGTTGTTGTTCTTGCTTTTCAGGTTGTGACGTATAATTTGGATTTAAAAGACATGGTACCCATATGATGATCAAGATTTTTAGTCTCAAGTATTGAGTGTTTTTTTTCAGCTGAGGATAAGTTTTTAAAAAAAAAATCTTTAGGCTTGGATGATTATTGCAGTTTATTACATGAAATATTTTTTAGCAGTATAAATGAAATATCAATTGACATAGAAAGCACTGGTCTCTGTTACAAACTGAAACTTTAAGAAAAGAACGTGAAAAAATCCGGAATTCACGACCAGCGTCGGCGTAAACTTCACGACAGAAGCATAAAACAGTATAGATCGGGTTTAAAGATTTGTATAATGGCGAAAA